TTTAAGAAGGGCATGTGGCATATTTGATTCCTCTAAGTATGGTCATGCATGAATCCTCCAGAGGCCACATGAGAGTAAGGTGTCTTGAGGAAATTTTTGTGAGAATTAAGAATAAAAACAGAATATCTTCCCCCACCTTAACACTAATTAGCAATTAATTAATGGTTATCAATAATTAACTAAAGTTTAACTAATAATATTATCCATTAACTATTAAGACAAAGGTAAATTTAATTAATACCGTATTACTATTAACATACACATCAACATTTAGAAATACTAAACACATCGAACTCGGAACGATTACGTTTCCAAATTCGCGTCTCACAATTTGCGATCCAACGACGATTTCTATGCATCCACACGAATACTAAGTTAAATAATACTTAGCTTTATAATCTAAATATCATTATCGAACATGATAAATTTTCAATATTACATATATATTATTACGAAATTTTCGGACGTAACATAATATCTCGAAATCATTCGACTACCTATCGCAATTTGAAAAAAATTTCATGTGTGCTCACGAGGTACACCACGTTAATTCCTTTGACTATAACGCCTACCGTGGGCACCATACGATGTGGACTTCGCCTTGGTCGGCATCACTTTAGTAGCAATCAGCGTCCTAAAAAGTATCAATCATTCACGCGGGTCCCGATTTGTGTGTGGATTCTAGGGTCTCCACGTATGTATGTGTATGAACATCTAGGAGTTTGGATTGCCACAATTTACGTCCTAACTGCACATGCTTCGTTAGCTGACACTTCTAACGTAGGCCGGTCAACCTAATTATGAATGGCGACTTTTTAGGCTCTAGTGTTTGATTTGAGTGAAAAAAAAAATTTGCGAATTGATTTTAACTTTCACACGTTCTGTTTACTGAAAATATCAATCAACGGAATTATTTACAATAGAAAAATATATGCAAGCTTAGAGTTTTGAAAATGAATTCCCTAATTTAGAAAGGGAAAAATATTTTTCTGGAAAATAATTTCTTAGAAAAAAAAAATTTTATCACGAAATTTTTCTTGAAAGGGTGCGCTTGTTTCACCGACAACTTCATGTAAAAATCAGTTGATTTGTTTTCATTTGTTTAGTGGTTTAGAAAAATTGATTTTCATCTTGTCAGAGAAGTCATTTTCCCATAATCTAAACTCGATGTTTTCAGTTCATGACAAACCTTTTATGGAGATCGATTAGTTTATCGTCATCAAAACATCGAAAAGTCGGAAAATAATTTCTCGAAAATAATTTTCCTTAAAAAAAAAGGGACCCTAAGTGAGTACCCGAATCGCCCCATCTATCCTCCTGAGGAGAGGTTCATTTGTACCAGTAACTGGATTACGGACGAGTGCTCTCGAAGTAGTTGATCCAATTCCAAAATCTTGGATCGAGTCGGCACACCATTTTCTTCTTCCGTTTTCTCAAAGGGACTAGAGGACTCATACGGTCTGTATCGGCAACACGTTTCTCTCGCAACTCAATCGCAAATCCAGCACGCAACTCTCCATAATGTGCGTTGTGTGGGAAAACGGGTCGTCCACGACTATAAAATACAGTCGTGATCGTCAAATTCCGTGACGAGTTCGAAAACGAAAGGCTCTTCGATCTTATAAACCGAATGGTTTTGTCCAAATCGTCATCAGATAACATACGATAAGTTCTAGAGCAAAGGGTGAGTATCAGGAAGGAGATTCCAACATCTAATCATTGAGATCTTTGCCTGAATAGGCACCGTGCAAATAACAATATTATATACTTATCGTGACCTTACATTCCAATGTCCAATCGGATTTTAACGTTTGTAATCTATGATTCTACATATGTTCTCAAACAAGATTCGTGATTGAATAAGATATTAGGGGTGGGGGTGGTGTGTGATTAATAGTTTGGTGGGCTGTAGACTTCTATGAGCTCCATGTTTCCGACGCTGGCCCCCAATGACTGTAGCTCGCGGCCCCATTTTCCAAGTAGTTGTTGCGGAGACATAAGCCAAGATAGATTGCTTAAATAGCAGTAAGTTTATGAAAATCGCCGATTTGAGATTTTATCTTCTTACTTATTAATGGGTTTGGCGATGAATCAACAATTCAAAGTGCTTTTCTTGTGTATTTTTCGTGCGGGTCAGAACTTACCCAACAAGGAATTTTCGCTACAGAGGTGGAATTGAGAAAGAACCATCAACTACAGCCCCAAAAGAACCAGATTTCGTAAACAACATAAAGGGAGTTATACATTTGTGTATTGATAAGACCATTCACTATTTCTTGAAGCTCGATCTCTCCCCCGGATAAACCATGCAGCCAATTCTTCTATTCTACGTGAAATTTATGGTTTCCGATGAGAAAACATTTCTCATTGGTAACAAATAGTTATCCATTAAGCGGGGAAATCCTCTTTTCAAAGCTGAAATCTTATGTCTATACTCTTGCAAAGATCCTCCTTTTCTTCCGAAAAAAGGGAAGCCTATCTGAAGAAATGATTCATCGAAATAATGAGTCACCATTGATATCGACCCATCCGAGAGATAGTTCCCTAATAAACCGAGGGATAAGTAATTCGACTCACTCCAACACTCCACCTTTGTCATATATTCCATACATCAACTAGATAGAGATCGCCCCTTTCATTCTGGGGTGACGGAGGGATCGTACCAAAACAAGCCATTTATGGATATTATCAGGGGGTTCGTGCAGATTCTTTTGTCGATGGATGCTCCTATTACACTCGTAGTCTCTGAAGGATGAGAACCAACTGTATAGCATTGGGATGAAGTGAGTTCTTTAGGGTCAATTAGGGCTTGGTTAGGGTTTCGTTTTTGGCGCCGAGCGTTCGGCACGAGAAAGACGAACACTAGCCAATGAACTATTTTTTTTTTTTGAATAGGTTAACAGGGAAAAAGTCACAAGAGACTCCAAATTATATTAATCGTGACACATTTATCATTTACTTTTTTTGCGACATTAAAGATCCCAAACTATGCCCACCATGACATAATTAACCTAAATCTTTTCTTGTGACATAAAAAATCCCAAACTTATAATTAGGTGACACATTTACCCTCCGTCAAGGTTCAGTTAGATGATTTTTCGACCAGAATAACATCGTTTTTTATTTCACTTAAGTCGTGTGGGCACCATATCAACATTGTTTGTTTTGTGGCATCCATAAAGATAGATCTTTAACGGTTTTCATTGACAGAACTTTCACGGAAGGTAAAAATGTCACAAACATACAAGTTTTGGATTTTTTGTGTCATAGAAAAAAGTTTAAGGTAAAATGTGTTATATTAGACATAGTTTAGGGTTTTTAGTGGCTTTTGTCCTAAGTTAAATGTATGTAACCGATTATTATCTTATTCAACCAACGTCGTCGGGTTAGACTGCCATCGCACCTCAGGTGAACGATTGAGATACCGTCATGGGTATGGCCACAACAAATTTTCATTTTAAGGTAGAAAGCCTTTTATATGTATATGAAAGTGAAAGTACCATGACTTTCTATTAGAATAAGTATCGAAGGACAAGAGATTTCATCCTATTATTTTTCACTAAAAAGTGTTGTTAAAATCTTAATAACCTTATACCTCTACATGTTCATGCCTTGCGCAATTCCTAGAGCCTTTCAAATGGTTAAAACACAATCAACAATTATTTTGTTGCAAATACAGCAACATGATCGATTATGATGGGAAATAATATATGCAAGTTCTAAGAGCAATGGTATGGAAATAACACGGATGATGGGAAATTACAAATAGTATCATCAACTTTGCTCTCCATATCAAATACCCGAATCAAGTTCGAAACCTACAATTATTATTCTTAGTTTCGAGTTGCATCTCCCTCCCGCACATAATTTATTATGTTATTATTTTTTGGAACCGAAATCTCCAGAAATGTGAAGGCATGGCTAAAACTGCTGAAAAACTGCTATAGGCAGCTATGTTGTAAATACCATAAATACTAATGTTCGTATACTGGAGAAAGCCCCCGCGCACAAACAAACTTGTTATCTTTTAATTATCTTTACTTTCACGCACTGTACTTTTAATTTCCAGACTCGCGTCGTCAATTAAATTCCAGCGTGTACCTTTGTAATATATCCTGGGTGCCGCGTCGTCGATTAAATTCCAACGTTGTATTTTCGCATTCTCAAGCCTTGTCGTCGATTAAATCCCGGCGCAGTTTGTGTACGTTTGGTTTCGTTTGAAGTAAAATTATCGCTTCTCTTGTCTACTCATAATATTTCTTATTCAGAGTCCTTACAGAACCTGTCTCCTATAATAAAAATCGAAAAACGACTTTCGGAGAAAGATATTTCGTTGCCGAATCCAATTCGAGCGAAACAGCTAGATTGCATCGAATCGAGTTCAAATTTGATTCGAATTGAGACTATCGAAATACAATTTAATTTAGGATTGCAAAAAAATAATATCGTCGACTCTTCCGTACATATAGATGCCCCACCTCACGTTTCAAAACCTACGATTCCCATGTCATTTCAAAGAAATCGAGATAGAAATTAAACCGGATCAAACTCGCGATTCGACACCTTCCAATTCGGATCAAATCGGAAACTCAACATCAATCCCAATCAAGTCGGTTTATCAATCCATTAGTCCATGGGGCCCAAACTTTATTTAAATTAGGCAGCCTGCAGATTAAAATCACACATTGTTGACAAATTAGCCCTTTTCTTTTGGGAGGAGCGGGGGGCGTACTACATCGAAAATTTCCCCCAAATTGCCCCTCCAATTGGCAAACGAGTTGGACAAATCAGCCGGCAATTTGGACTATGCTCCTATTCACACCACCCTCCTCCCCCCTTCCTTCCGTCAGCACGCCGGTCAACCATGCCCGTTAAATCAGTCGCATTCGTAGCAACAAGGTCCGTTGCAACTGATTGAAACACCAAAAGGTAGGGGCCCCAAAAATTAAATTAAATTAAATTTCATCGCCACCTTTCCTAAAAATATCGCACCCCCTCCTTTTGACACCGAGCATGATTGCACTCGAGCGTCCCCGTTTTCCTGGCCGATAAAGAAAGGGAGACGCTCCTCCTAGGAACATCCATCCTCGTACACTACTAAGCTTAGCAACACACCACCCAGCATACCACCCGGCACGGAGAAATGGTCCGGTTCAATCTCGGACGCCGGGTCCATCGCCGCTTCTCGACGCTCCGGCGGTGCTTCTGCCGCACCTGGCGCAAGATCCTCGCGCGATCCTCCTCCTCGTCATTGGCGGCGGCGGCGGCGGAGGAGTCGGGGAAGCGATGCCGGTACCGGATGTTGCCGTACGCTAAGGTGACTTCCCGGACGGAGCCCGTGTCGTCGTCCGGGGTCCCGTCGGCCGGCCCCGCGGCGTGCCGAGGCGGCGACGGGGATTCGGATCTGGTGGCGCTGAAGATCGGCCTGCTGGGTGATCAGCAGATTGGCAAGACTAGCTTCGTGGTGAGTCCTTCAATGGAAAGAATTATCTTTCGTTCGGGTGCAAAAGTGAAACTGACACGATCATCCTCAGGTCCTCATTAGCAATTTCTGATGTAATTTTATTGTTTTTTTTTTCTTTTGGGGCGGTTGGCGAAAGGTAAAGTATGTGGGGGACGAGAAAGAAGAGATCAATTGCTCGGACACGAAAGGCTTGAATCTAATGGACAAGACATTGCTGGTCAATGGCGCACGCATCTCTTACAGCATTTGGGAAGTCGAAGGTAAACAAAATGCATTCGGGCATTCCTCGTATACGCTGTCGCTTTGATTGAATCTGAAGCTGCTGTATTCCTTGTTCGATTGGGTGTTGTGCGTAGGCGACGGAAGGCCCGGCGATCACGTCCCGATCGCCTGCAAGGACTGCGTCGCGATCCTGTTCATGTTCGACCTGACGAGCCGGTGCACGCTCAACAGGTGCGTGTCTCGTCCCCGGGTCGTCCGGTAATCGGGCGGCTGGATCGATTAACTCTATAATGTGATGATATCCCTTCTGGGTTTGGGATAATTAGAGGCTACAATTATATTAATCCTCAAGTAAGTAACCGTGAGAGCTTGTTTGTGTTGCAGTGTCATAAGCTGGTATCAACAAGCAAGGAGGTGGAATCAGGTATTTTTTTTTAAAGATTTTTAGAGACTAATCCTACATTATTATAAATCTAAGTTACATATGAATCATTTTTCTGGGACGCTAATGCTGGTTGCTGATTGGGGCAGACGGCAATCCCGATCATAGTAGGAACCAAGTTCGATGATTTCATCCAGCTGCCCATAGATCTGCAGTGGACGATAGCTAGCCAGGTAAATATTTCCCACGATTCATCTGTTGCTTCTTCTTTTTTTCTTTTTCCAAATTAGAATGCCTCAATTTATCCATCCCGACACCTAAATTAGTGAAATTAGCAGCGAGAACAATCCATTGTCGATCCAACTTCCACTTCCCAAACGACCCACTTGAAGATCGAAATTAGGGGTATATTAAAAAAAGATTAGACCCCAAATCCCCACCCAGTTATTTTCTCTGAGGGAAGATCATTCGCCTGTAGCTTTTGGGGAACATTCTTCCGCAAGTTAAGGGCCAAATTGCGGTCCGAAGGAAAAAGGGCAGTTTGGCCTGATGCAGATGCAGCAGCATCGAATGATCTTTGTGCGCGTACCTACAATTCAATGGTCAATCTCAATCGGGTCGAGAAGACATCGAGGGGGTTTCGATTTTCAGACATTTCACACGTGCTGGACTTTGAAGAGGTAGGGCAACGTGGGACTTGGGAAAGGGACGGGTCGCAATAATGGAAGGAAGGGAGTGATGAGGTAGGCCAAGGCAACGTTGAGGGGATGGTCCCGGCTAGAATAATGCCTCGATTGATAGCGTTAGGTGCTCGATGGGACTGACTATGAAGACTTGGTACTATCGTCGAACTTGAGCTTGAAATATCTTTAGAAGGTTTGCCACCCAATTCAGAAAATGAGCTCGACGAGTTCGTGACGGTATTTTTCGTTTTGTGATGTTTCGCAGGCTAGGGCGTACGCGAAGGCCCTCAACGCCACGCTCTTCTTCTCGAGCGCGACCTACAACATCAATGTCAACAAGATCTTCAAGTTCATAACCGCGAAGCTGTTCGACCTGCCGTGGACTGTGGAGCGTAACTTGACGATCGGAGAGCCCATCATCGACTTCTAGAGTGTTGTTGTCTCTTGTAGATAGTTGGTTCGTCAAGGCAACCGGTGTCGCTAGGGAAGGAATTAGAGGCTCGCCTCGATCTTCCTAGCAATATCTCGAGTTGTGTCGTCTGCATTTCGATTGGCGATCGACAATAAAATCAAGTATGGAACAAGTTTTGACGAAGGAATTAAATACCTGATAGGGAGCATCAATATCTCTCTCTCTCTCTCTCTCTCTCTCTCTCTCTCTCTCTCTCTCCCCACAGGATGAGAAGGCAACTCGATGCTCTGCTCACTCCAAAGACTATGCTGGTAATCTTGGCCTAAAGAAATTCTGAAAAATGAAGGCCAAACGACCATTTTATCAGAATTGTGGGATGATCTTATCAAAATCGTCACATTCCTGGAGATTTCCATCAATCTCATAACGATCAAAACAATTTTATGTGAAACTTCCATCCCATCTCATCTCCTTGTATCATAATTTTTCTCGGTTTAGTTCACACAACTAAAGGGACTAACCCTTTGCTCCTCTGAAAGATATGTATTGTCCTTCTCAGGTTTAGGATACTAAGGATCGTATAGCTGAACTGGCTAAAGAAACAGATTGCTAAAGGAAATTCACCAAAACCCAATAATCTGACCACCGGAACTTCGAACCTAGGCTAACAACTAGTGTCGCCTTGTCCTGCTCCTCCTGCAGCCGCCTCTCAACACAACCACTCGCTCCAGTCCTCGTTGCTTCCTCAGTTAATTTTTTTTTCTTTTACGAACAATTTGAACTCGCAACTTCATCATCACATTGTCTACAGTAATAACAAGAACTGTAAAAGACGCGATCAATAGCCTGCTTCTTCCCAGATAGGAAAAGAAAACCAAGTTAAAGATTCATTTTATTAGCTGGTGTGGATAAGTACACACACACACAAAATAAAACTAGAATAAAATAACTGGCTGCACTTCAAAAACCCGTCTTCATCCACAGATATTACAAGAACAGAGGCAGAGATTGGAAACAGAAGGCAATCATAGTCTAAAAGAGGTTGTGTCATTCAAGTTTAACCTCTCTCTTTGGGGACTCCAAGTCCAAGTAGTAGAATGGCTCTGTTGGCTCCTCCCTGCACAATACAACTTTTCATGGGAATGCAGCTACAAAGCAGCTAATGATGCAATAGTGGCAATAGTGGCATTATGTGTCCTAACCAGGAAAAGAATGGGTATTCTTTGCATAAAAAAAGACAGTTTCACACTCAAGGCGCATCAATTTCATGGCTCAAAGCGTCCTTCACTTTCTATATTATAAGAAGAGATAATCTAACGATCATCGTTTTGATAGTAACTTTTAAATTTTCTGCAGCCGGATTATAGTATGCCTTTGAGAAGAGAGTCAAGTTTGAAAATCAGGAGGGGAGAAGAGGGACCGGGAAGGAGGGGGGAGGGGTGTAAGGTAAGACATCTTTCATTCGAATTCCAGAAAGTAAAACCATATAAACAATGCACCAAGTCAAAATGATATCAAGAGAAGAACAGATGAACTTCGTAAGAATAGCTAGAGATATCTATGAAGATCGAATTAGGTCCCAAGAAGAAAATCAGTGTTTTCCACGCAGTTTAAGCAACAGCTATTATTAAAGGCATGATTTCTATGACACAGAAGGTACAACCAAAAAAAAAAAAACATACCCCGGTTTTGACCGCATGCATTGCCAAAAGAGCTTGAAGGGTCCTGGGACTGTCTTGAATGGATTTCCTTCAAAACAAGCCTGCACAGATGAAAGTGAAGTGGGCATAGTGCAGCAAATAAATTGCGGATATACCTATTCTTAAATTCAAAGATCATTAGCAAAACATAGCCTCAATTCATTCTAAAACCCAAAAAATAAGATGACAATATCCAACTAATTCTACTTCAAACGGAAGTTTGAAGCTTCTAGAGCATGGATCCTTCAAATAAAAGAGTCAGAAAGGGAGCATGCAAACAAAAAGAATAGTAGCATGAAACCTTCCCTGTTACTACTTTCTCTTTCCTTCTTATCTTTTAAGTGGGTTGGTGGGGGATAATTATATGGATTCTAGTTAATTAGATCAACTAAACTATAAAAGCTATGTACAAACGATATAAAATTTATTTTCAACCAGCATGAAACCTTCCCTTTTACTACTTTCTCTTTCCTTTTTTAATGCTAAGAAACTGGGATTGCATTATCCTACATCGAGAAGATGACCGGCGATGTATGTGAATCATCTGGTTGAGAAGCTGAAGCTTCTCTTAATTGGGCGGGAGGTGGGGGAGCATCAAATGATCAAAGAAGCCTTTCTTTGCTTGACTTCTCTTGATACTCATTCATTGCTCTGTAATTTTAAATTTTGGTGCTCTGCAACTTCGCATTAATCCACACTATCAACAAGACAGTCAGTCAACTTACTTTGATAAAACAGCAAGCATGTCTTGACACTGAAGATACTACGACTTACCAACTTTCGAGACTGCAGAACAATATATCTAGATATAAAGGACTGTTTGCCATAAAGGGATGCGCTGCAGGTATTGCTCTAGTACTCCTGCCCCTTCTAACTCTCTCAACTTCAACAAGATGACTAACATATAGTAACAATTGTTAAAAAATACCTCCTTGCCACAAATCAGAGAGCTCGTGAAAAAGAAGATCCCGTGCTTGAGAGAAGATAATAAAAATCTCTCTCGTGCTTACTCAGTTGAATACAAAAGAGTCATCCATTATCCTTATCCTAGAAATTGAACAACACTATCAAAGGTTGAATCAAACTTAATGAGCATTCCCTCGTAAAAACTGCCAGTTCACCTCTTCAGAATAGTAACAAATAAAAACCATCAGTCGTCGAGTCGCGCTAAGCACGAGTGAGAGCTCAGGCACACTCAGTGAATATCGAGGTGGCGTCTTCCTTATGAAAAGACACAATTTAGCTGCTTTTAGAGGCATCGAGTATTATTGGTTCATATCAGCTAAACCCAGTTCATTGCAGTAAAATGCACGTACGACTACATCCGTAGTAGGACACCATTCCTGATCCAGAACACATACCCTTAGACATGCCGTAGTGGAACTCCACAAAGGCCTCGGTTTTGGTTCAAGGACAGGATCCCGGAAACGGGACCCAATCACAAGTCATCTAACTCATCGGAATTAAATCCAGAGTTAGTTGTTTGACAGTCCAGAAAATTCATCATGTAATGGAGATAGCTCCGCTCTTTTGGTACTTTATCCTACACAAGCCACTGCACTGACAATCAAACCGATAATTCCACCATCATCACCTCCACCACCATCCTGACTTCGTCTCGTCCCCACCCTCATCAAATTTACCACCGCCACGATCGTTCCAGTAACGGCTCCTACCCACAGAAGCATTTTTGAAAAACACACAAACTGCATCACTCCAACTCTTCGGCACGCCATAGCTAAATTAGAGAGAGAAGTCACCGACAGGATGTGGGTGTGCGCGTGCGTTGAATGCAAATTCACTAACCTCGGCGACGGGGAAGGGACATGAATCGAAGCAAACACCTCAAAGATGGTGCGGCGAAACACAAGAGAAAATCAGAAAAAAAGATCACAGCGAGAGAGAGAGAGAGAGAGAGAGAGGCATATACTTGAACGACGTCCTCAGCTCGATCGTTGCAGCGATGGGCCTTGGGTTGACGGTGGTCCCCCTCCGGCCGTCCCCATGGGCTCTCCCTCCTCGGCACCGGCCTCGTCTCGCTCATCCTCTCTCCCTCTCCCTCTCCCTCTCCACAGTCAATCGCAGAAGAGAGAGAAAGGAGGAGGAGCAGCTGGAGAAGAAGAAGAAGGGACAGAAGAAGACGACGATCTCGGCACGGGTCGGACTTCACCGATGGGCCGGGCCCGGAAACGGATCGAGATTCCGGGCCGGATCCTCCTTGCCTCTCTGTCACTGACACCTTCCCTCCCATGTGGAAATTGCAAAAAGAAAGAACTGCGCACTCCTCCGCCACTTCCTCCCATGGCCTCACGACCCTCTCCCCTTGATTCCCCCATATCTACATAAACACGGCGCGGCCAGTCTCCTTCCACCTTCCACCACCGCCCCTCTCTCGAACGAACGAACGAATCCCACCCCGAGGGGAAAATGGGTGCCCTGGTGAAGCTGGTCGACGCCATCCTGTTCCTCTTCTTCCTCGTCGTGGCCGTGTGCGCGCCCCTGTTCGACGCCCAGGCGTGCCTCCCCGAGCCCCTCTTCCCGCGCGCCCTCGTCGACCTCAGCGCCTGGTACGCCGCCCGGGTCGGCGACTACCTCGTCGCCGAGAAGCCCCTCTTCTTCGTCGGCCTCGTCTGGCTCGAGCTCCTCTTCCTGTGGCCGCTCTCCCTCCTCAACCTATACGGCATCCTGGCCGCCAGGCCTTGGTTCGGCACCACCTGCTTGATCTACGGCGTCTCCGCGGCCACTTCCATGGTAAATGACTGTCTGCATTGTCATTGACATCGTGAGGAAGCTTTTTCCAGGCAAAGGCTGTAACTTTTACCTGCTGGGTATGGCTTGATTGAATTGCTTCTTGCGAAAAAAAATTTGTTTCTTGACCTTCGGTGTCGATCAAGTTAATGCGGGCTTTGACCTGTTAGAGGGTTTGATTCAAACAGGAGAGCAGTCGAACCAAGATTTTGTTTGGTTTTTGGGAAACATTCTTATGAAGTAGGTAATTGATTGTTTGAGTGGATCCTTCCATGTCGAGTAGCCCGACAAAGACAGCAACATGGTATCTGAATTTGGTTATAGATTATTATCGCAACCTTCGTTACGGTAATGGTTAGGCTGTTAAGGCAACCCAATTGTTTAGTGTAAGCTATTTATTTCGAACCCTGCGAAGCGGTAAATAGTTTGGCCCTGCTGCTTTGTAGGACGAGATCTGTTGTCTGCCGATCTCTTTGCGAAAAGATGTATACGCAACTGATACATGAGTGCTTTCCCCGAATTGAAGAGTGCTTCGATATGAAACGAAATGCGTGAATTGCACGGATTGAAATTATCTACTCTGCTTTTGAGCTGTTACATGATACTGTTGTTGGATTTCTGGCAAACAGAACAATGCAAAAGTATAATGCATTTCTCTTGGCTCTGATATTTCATGCAAACGGACTTTTTCCTGTTTGTAGGTTGCTATTATGTCGGAATTGACTGGGTCCGGTAAAGCATCGGATAACTTGCTGATGGTGTACTTCCCCTTCTTGGGACTCAGTTTGCTGGCCTTTCTGAGGGGTCTGCTGCCATGTTCTACCAAGATTACGTCGACCATCAGCAAGAAACCTGCATTGGCAAGGAAAAAGAGGGCTTGAGATATGACACCGCGCTGTGGACGTCCTGCGCTTTCTAGCCAATTCCAGATCCAATTCAGTTCTTTTCAGTGATATCAGATTGAGAATGTTGCGAATTAGGAAATTTTCTGATCTCGGGGCTGCCTTTTATGATATTTTTTTCTGAAAGCTGTTGCACGTTGGAATTGAACTCATCATCTGGGAAGAACTTAGTTTGGTTTGGCGGCACTTTTTTGTTCACTCACCTGAAATAACTTTTATTGCACCAAAATTGCTTGTGCAGGTGGCAGAAGCTGCAATTGCTTATGCTGCTTATGAGTTGATTGGCGTAAAATATGTCATTGATTTGGTTGTCAATTTCTCCATCTAGAACGGTTTAACTTTACTATTGATTGATTTCTCTCCACACTCTGAATCTCTTGTTCATTGCTTGTAAATCTGGAGATATCAGGAATAGCGCGGTTATATTGCAGATTCCTTCCAAACCTAAAATCTGCATGGCCATTGTTTAACAAGAGATTTGTGAAAACGGGAATATCACAACCTTTGACATGATTTGGTGTCCTCCCCAAGCGATTTATGCAGTCAGTCATCATCCTTTCTTTCTGTTATTATTCAGTTATCTTTATGCATCTCAGACTATAGCGGTAGCAGAAATTCACGCAACTGCTATATCGGTCATGAGATTTTCCGTTCCTTTCGCGTGTCATACCCAGCAAGTTAAAAGGTAAGCGACGCATCCTCTGAAAACCTTGAGTCAACGCTTCTTATTCACTCGAAGTTTCCAACTGCTACGATATGCTGATCCAATGTTTTAGGAGCCAACTTAAAATTGCTTGGACATTGCCACAACGGAGAAGAAAATTTGAGAACAACAAATGAAGCAGTATCGTTCTTATCATTGACACTTGCAATGGGTGGTTACTATGAAAGGGGATTAATAAAAAATAACCCAAAGGAACTTTTGATGGAGCACGCAACTGAAAACTTTACCGCTACAGTTCTAAGCTAGCTTAAACTACCGAAGTTCTCAAAACTTGGTTAAATGAAAAGTCGAAACTCGGGAAATGGAATGTTTCGTGTTAGTTTCTCTATCTTCACTTTGTCCTTTGGAAGTCAATACCCGAACCCCTTAATCCTTGCAAATAAGGTGCGATCTTGACTTCTCCAAATTCGATATAAGCTGACGTTTCTGCTTAAACATAGAAAGCTGCTTGTTCTTTCTTGACGTTGCTTTTGTGATGTCCTACATCTGCAAAACATTGCAACCCAGATCCGTATAACAAATAAACAAAATCTTGTGCATACAGTTCATTGATGGAACCAAAACAGCATCAAATAATGCTGGCCCCTTACTTTCTTTTAAGAATCTTAACTTACCTGGACACTAGACTGCAGAGTTAAGCACTTTCGCACGACAATGAAGCCCGGATCCTCTCAACGGTGCAAGCAATCAAATTGTTAACAGTCGCAACTGACCCGAGAGAGAGCTTAGCTGTAGGAACTGAATCGACCAGAATCTGGAACGCCACTGTGAGGAGAGACCCACCACCAGATCCCACTGCCTGTTGATCATCGCCACCTTGCACGGTATTACCGTCAGGCAGTATTGCAAACCCCGAGGGCAAGAGCGCGACATAGTCTGGATCCCCGCCATTCAGCACCACATTCATCGCTACGATATCCACCGGAGCGTAAATTACGAAGGAACCGGCAGAGTCGGTGCAACTCTCTTGCAAGATCAGCATGTTGCTTTGGCTTGAGTTGGCACTCTAAGAGAATACAGTAAAAAGAAGGATGAGATGACTGATCTTGTAGGACATGGAGACTTGGTAACAGTATTGACAATGGAAGTTTGATAAACTGACATTGACTCGTAGTAGAGATACGCAGTTGCCGGTGTCCCTGCCATTTGCAATATGCGCCATTTCTTGAACCACCCCTCCGTTCGAGAGAATATCCCACTGTAGCACAGCAATTCAGCAATGATTTAATTAGCAGTGATAGGTAATCTCGGATTGAAGAACACAGCAAAAAGAAGAAACTATGTTTTCCCCAGAATAACACGTTAACTAGAATCACAACAAGAGTCCAGCCTCCAATGTCATCTGGAATGTAGAATTCAGCAGTTTATAATTAATTGATTACCAATGTTTGTTCATGAATAGTCACTGTCTTGTTTACGAAAGAAAAAGGCAGGTTCACCATGAGTAGTAGCAGAAAATCGTTACTTGAGTCGAATAACTGACAGATGATCTCATTTAGAGATAACTTTTAGAACTACCTTAGAACCACGAATCTAGAGACAAGGACGGACTTGGACGTGGACTTGGTATCAGCATATATAACTAAGGGAAAAGGAAATTTGGTACCTCGCTTCGAGAATTCTCGTCACGGAGGAAATCGAAGACTCTATTTGGCAGCACCGGAAGCCAGAAAGAAGTCGCAGCGCTCAGTACTATACCGGGGGGCCTACCCGGATCGTCAATACTCTTCCTGGTCATGACCCTCACATCATCGGCTCCCGTCCCTGACAATGTCGTCCATGTGTGAGCCGTAGACGCGCTGACTCCGGCGCAGAAGCTTATCACCATTCTCTCCGCTAGTTTTAGCATGCTCTTTCTCCCTTCTTGACTCGTGATCACTGCCACATATAAGTGAACTCTTGAGTTGAAAATGAGTGTAACAACTAGCAAGACCACCTCTAACAAAACATTCATTAGCTAGCACAAAATACTTCATGGTTCTTTAGCCAATGACAACCTGAAACTTTTGTGTTTTACAAAAGTGAAGTAGAAATGCACGCGTAATTACTATTGAGGGATCAAAATAGAATTGAAAATATTATTACCACCAACGTCGGTGTTGGGAATATTTGTTGCCATGGCACTCGCAAGGCGTTCACATTGTCTATCTAAGGTGGCGACCCACCGTTTAGCCCCAAAGGCATGGCCAGAATTAACAAGCTGCTTGTACAAGCTGTGGACTCCTCTGTCATCCACTTCCACATTCTCAACCCATGTCACCTAGGGCACAACGACAGAGTAAATAAGTATGTAGCAAATTGAATTGAATGCTTTGGGTTACATATGTAGCCCTAGTTACAACATGGAGACTCTTCTTACCTTGGAATATCCATTCGGCATTTCTTGAATAACACATCCTGAAGGCCTTCTTCGGCATCTGGCAATCGGGCTTGGGCGTAAATTGTCCAAGGAAACATCGACGACAGCCCAAGTCCCATCACCATGCTGTTTACAGTACCGAACAAAGTAAACTTCGCGAGTTGGAACAAGTGGTGTAGGAACTTGAAATTCAGCTGTCATCTGCATTAATTCCATGTTTAGAGAGCTCAGAAAACAGAATTTGTAAGAAAAAACAAAAGGTTACTCGTGCTCATGTGATTTTGGACTATCAACAAAGTATAATCCTAAGTAACCATTTGACAAATAAATAAATATGTATACCACTTGCAAAGCTCCATTGTAGTTGCCAGCTACTCCAGTTGATAGTACTTCCAATGTTGCGGCTCGTGAGACAATGCCGGAGAACACTGTCGACCATTGGTTCTGCAGAAATAGTAAATGCGAGATATCATGTTGAGAATGAATTCAATTTTTTCGGTGCTGTGCATCAATACCTAGTCAAAAGCGAGAAATGCTTCACGATTTGGAGCACCCAAGAAGAGAACTAATAGAACCCTTACCACATCCATGAGAATCTCAACAAGGTTGATATGATCCATAATGACAACAACACTTTCTCGTGAAGCTTCGGTGTAAAATTCAGCAGGCTTCGGTCCGATACCTCGGGGACATGTTTTCATGTACTCATCTTCATTTAGCACACTTGATGAAGTGCCATCCAAGCTCTTACTCCAGAGGGGCTCTCCCATCTGGGCCATCCTGACCAATTCCTCCATGGCTGTGACCGCCAGCTCGATGATCATCGGCTTGTCAGCTTCTGTTGGGGCACCAATTGACTTGAGAAGGTCCCCAGCTCCATAAATCTCTCCTCCTACACCAGATTGACCCCCAAAACCTCCGACTCCGAGCTCGAGCGGACGAGGAGGAGCCGGAGGGGAAAGAAGAGGGTAGTTCACCACTGGTTTGCCCACATACTTGGCAGCAATTGCTGAAATCCTATCGATCTGCAAAATAAATAGATACAAAGTAAGAATGTGTGCATTAGAGTGCGAGAATTCGACTTTTATGTTAAGTCTTCGCTCATAAGTACCATCTATTCAATGTTTAATATATAAGGCCTGTAGTTATAACTTCTAACTTAACACATTCAATGCTATTAGCTGTTATAATCTAAGCATATATATACCATACGGAAAAGAAGTGGATCGATGTACCTCTTCTCTTAGACGGGCATTTTCCAATCTCAAGTGGTGTTCATCAAATGACATCTCTCCAATGGCCGTCGGCCCTCCACAGTTGGGACACGTGGCATTGCTCAGCGCCTCTCTGTACCTCATGTTGTCGGTCCTAAGCTTCTCATTCTCCACTCGGAGCTGCGTGTTCTCGCTGCGCTCGTGCTGTGCCTGCGAGACAAAAAAAAATGCACTTAACTTAGTTATAATCAAGTGCAATAAGCAAGACCAGCACTATGTAATAACCATAGGTTTGACTAGGGCAAAGCCCACTTCCTATTTTGGAAGACCAAAAATATTGCAATTATCCGCAAATTTAGTGTAAGTAAGACCTTACGGACGGATTATATCATATATTTACACGTGCATATTTTTTATTTGCTATTTTCGGTAATTGAATATACCTTCATTTGAGTGCGCTTGTTTTGGAACCAAAACTTGACTTGCAAAGGCTCTAAGCCTAATTGACGGCTGAGTTCCTTCCTCTGCTTGTCATCTGGATGCGGGCATTCCTTAAAAAAACTGCGAAATATTTTCCTCGAACCATTTTACAAAAATGATATAGAAATTAGAAACAAAATTGACGATTATGTTAACAGAGGGATTCAGCTTCGCACGCTTCCATCTCTTGGATCTGATGCTGGGTGTGACGATGGTAACGCTTCTTCTTGTTGGGACGCTGAAGATCCTGCAGGTCGTCTCCGGATTGACCTTCCTGGTTTTCGCTCCCCGACTTTGTGCTGATCTCGAACTCCTCATCTCGGAGCCGAGCAAGTTCGCTCTCCGATGCGGTCTGTTGAGCCATGTCAAACGGGTGGTGAAGCTGATGATGATGAAGGCCTTCGATCATGTTTGGCTGCGAAAACATATACATGTCTCGTGTAAGGTGATTTTGGTATGTTGATGTGGGGGTTTTTTGCCCATTGAACGATTTTTTTTTTCCTATGTGACGGACGTCTAATATGCATTCTTGAATCTCGAGATGGTTGTTCTGGGAACGGAAAAATGAATTTCCGGTAAATGAGATT